TTGATTGGTATTTAAAAAATAAATATCTTAAATAGTTAATGACCTTTGCAAAATTCCGACTGGTTCAATAACTCTTCCGATTTCGTTTAGGTCTAACTGGTAAATTCGGTGGACGTAAATTGATGCACAATGACTTTGCTAATAGTTTGACCAAAGTGTTTTGTCGGAACTCGGCGAAGCCGGAAGTGCAAAGGCTAGTCATAGATCTGGGCTCAAACTGACGCCATATTACCCGCTAGAAATACCAAAATTACACGTAAACAATGCTGCAAGGAACACACACAGATGCAGACCCAAGTCCTGACCCGATTATCGAGTTAAACTTTTGTATAAAATTTGCACCTGGACCTAAACCGGATCGAATGGATACAGAGGTGCCCATTGTCAAAGCAGCGACAGTAAAACAGAGAGTCAGTGACACAAAGAGGGAGAGAGAGCGCTCTCTCAAGAGCGATGTGCCGGCTGGAAACAAGAGAGCAGCGAAAACTCACGACAAAGCGGAAAGAGAGGGGCAAAAAAACAGCCCAACAAGTGAAACGAACGTATAAAAGCAAAAAAGTTAAACCGACACTCACACAGCAAAAAAAAATTCAAAAGCAAAACGTAGCGAGCGCTAAAGAGCAGGCCAAAAGCAAAATTACAAAAGCAAAGCGAGTATATCACGTGCTGCGCCAGAGGAAGAAGAGGGGTAGGCGGCGCAGAAAGGGGGATTGTGCCGGCCTTTGGCGGCAGAGCTGCCAGCGTCGCTGTCGACGCTTGCTTGCGAAAAGCAAGAAAGACGGACGGAAGGCAAAGGAAAAGCGACGGAGAGACAAAGCGACTGTTTCGTATAGAAAGAGAGTGGGAAGCAGAAGCACCGTTAGTCAGTCAAAACAAAAAGTGCGAATAAACCGAGGAGGCAGAGAACAAACATATTTTTTAATTTAAACGGCTACAATAGTAACTAACAAGGCCATAAAACGAAGAATTTATAGTTTGCCAAAAAATTTCAGCAAATGGCCATCTATAAATATATAAAAATCTATATATTGTATTTAAAAACAAGGGTGAAATGGTAACTAAACAAACAAAATCTAGAAAGTAATTTAATATCTAAGAATTTTGAGAGGGGAACGAACTATACAATAATAAATATGTAAGTGAAAGATATGGTGATTTAAACATACGATTGCCGGAAACAATGTAAGCCTCTGATAAGTTTAAATTATATTTCCCTGAGTTTTGCTACTAGTATCAATAAAATAATGGTCGAAAATAAATAGGATGGAACTTTGATAAGCAAGCTTTTGAATTTCGAAGTTAAACGAATCTGAGGCCAATTTGAGTTTTGCAGTAGTTATTGGGTGGTCGGTCATTAGAGGCCAAATATGGCGAGACAAGAGGAAATCCGCGAAACAAAGCAAAAGCAAAGTGAAGAAAAGACGGCGAATGGCGGCGACAACATTACGGCGACAAGTACAAAACACGTATTATGCATGTGTGTTGGAGATTCGCATGATTCGTGCAAATTCGCCGCATAGTTGTTGCTGCTATTTTATTCGCATTCGCATATCGTGGTGCCTTTTGTTTGTACATGTATCTTTATCTGCATTTGTGTGTGTTTGTTGGGTTTGGGTGTGTTTGTGAGTTGGGGTCGTCGTCGTTCAAATGTTTGCCTTTCTGTTGTGTTGTTTGGTCGGTTTTGATTCGGTTTTTGGGATGGATGATATTATATGGTCGCTGTTCTCTGTCGTTGCCTCAGTCGACGCCTCTGCCCGATTTTCCATCCATCGTTTTATTTTCTCCCCCGTCATCACCTCTTCTTGCGTCCGTCGTTTTTTCGATTGGTTACAGTTGTACATTAGGATTAATTAATAAATTTGACATTTTACATAAACAAATTAGATCTTCTTAACACATATCTCACCTTGTGCTAAAGTTAATAATTTTCTAACCAATAAATTTTCTTTAAAATTACATAATAAATTTCTTATGACTTTAAAAACCTCAAAGTTATTTATTTATTTACAAATACCAATTTTACTTCTTATCCAAATCAAGTTAACGAAGCTCTACGGTAGTTTGCCTCCGTTTTCTGCCCCCCGTTGTTGTTGTTGTTCTTTTCATTGCCCGACTCGTAAGTTATTTTTTCTTTCGTATTTCTTTAATTTTTTTCGCCGTAGCTCCAAAGAAAGCAAGAACAACTGTAAGCAATGAGTGGAACTGCCCACTCGCCGCCTTAACTTTACTTTAGCTTTATTCGCATTTTAACGAGTGAGGGAGGGAAGGAGATGGCGAGTGCGGCGAAGAGGGAAAAAACAGGCGTGTGACGTTTTTTTAGCTGCTTCTTCTTCGCCAAAAAGAGTTGATTGAAATTATTTTGCTGGCGTTTGTGTGTTTCTGTTTCGCTCAATTCGTTTGACTGTGTGTCTGCCTGTGTGCGAGTGGTTGTGTATGTCTGTGAGTGTGTGTGTACGTAAGTCTCGACTGTCTCACTGAGTGAACGTGTGTATCTGGTTTCGGTTAAAGATACATAATTATTTCTAAAAAGCATTTTCTGCCTGGCCTTTGTTGTAAATCGCTCGCAATTTCATGACTCTGTTAAGCTCACAGTATTTATAATTATAATAAAGTTGCAAATAGTATTACTCACCTTTTTTATTTAATTTGGTGCTGCTAATCCATTCGAAATAATCTTGTTTATTTTCACCAGTTCTCACAATTTACAGTTCATTTGTGTAGTTAAAGTTAGTTTTTGTTTTTTTTTGGTCACGAAAACATTTGGGACGCAAGTTATCGATAGTCAAGCGCAGCAGAATGATATATGGCGACGAAAGACACGGGCAACTATAACAACAACAATGCTAATTCAAGTGTAGATACACATGCGAAATAATAATTGTGGCACAATTGCCGCAGTAAGAAGAAGCAATGTCGAAAACTACAAAAGCGCAACGATTGCAATTGTGAGGCTGTTGCTTCTTCTTCTCCACGCGTTTCGCTCTCCTCACACATACTGACACTAACGCAAGGTAATTACAATTAAACGTATTTTTTCTACAGCCGAAAAGAAACAAAGAAATCAATAGATATTGCTGGAAGTCAGCGGAAAATCTCTGCGTCTTGGTAATTGCACATGTAGAAAAAGAAAAAGGCCGCAGATGGAATGAAAAAAAAAATGTTACAGCCGCCGAGTGGAAGAAGAAGTGCACAACAGACGACGCGACGCGACGCGTCGAGAGCGACAAGCGCATGAATTTTACGCTCTCTCATCAATTGCGCGTCGTAGCGCTATTTGTGTGAGAAAAGGAGAGGGAGTGGGAGAAGGAGAAGCGGAGTGGCCCGGCTAGAAAAACGTGTGTCCACTAGCGACTGTGTGCGTGTGAAGAGAGCGAGTGGAGGGAGCCAGACAGATGAGTTGACACAGCGGCCGAGGCAGAGCAAAAAGCAATCAAGGAGGAGCACGAGGAAGAGCCGCAAATGGGAATACCGTTGCACTGTATCTATGTGAGTGCTACTTCGGGCCATCAATATCGATATATCGATGGGGCCAGCCAACTACAGTGTAGCCTGGCCAATTAAGCCTGTAATATTATTAAAATTTCAAAAAATCGACCAATGAATTAAAAAATTGTATTTAAATAATTTTTACAGATATGAATCTGTGCAAATTTACGTATGTTTAAATAACATGGTTTTTATTGTAAACGAAATTAGCACAAAACGTTACTACATTTATTTACCTTAGTTTTTTTTTATCAATTAAAAAAACAAATTTTGTGTAAGAAAAAAATAAATTCACTTTTGGTTTAACTTTACTAACAAAACTAAAGAACGACTTTTCTATTTTCCGAATTATTTGTCTGGTGTTAAAGAAAAGTTTCGCAAGCTTAAAAAAAGACTACTTTTGGTAGCCCAGTCAAAGTGTTTAGATTTCAAAGAACATTAAAGAAAAACGTTAAACGTTTATTTCGCAAATTGTTCACAATAAATCCAAATTTAATGATTTTCATTTAAACTGAACATGGCAAATAAATTAAGTTCATGCTTTGCAATTCGATTTCTCCAATCGCAACAATAATACAATGTGAATAGAGAGCAGCGAGAGAACGTCGACTGCGACGTCGGCAGAGCAACTGTAGTTGTATGGCCATTATATTATGGCAGATTGACGAACAAGGGGGTGTGAATAAGAGAGGGGGAGAGAATGGATGTGGAGGAGATAGCGCAGATCGTCTCCTGCACAGGTGCAAAATGTGCGGCGCTGCATCTTCCGAATAATGTTGGCAACACTGCAACACCAATACATACACAAAACCTATACGACGCGCGATACACGAAAGAAAAAAAATCGAAGCTAAGTGAAACATACAATTTTTTTTGGGAGTGAAAAGCGGGTGCAAAGAAAATGGCGAGCAGAAGCAGCACAAAATAAATCAAAAATAGCAGGCAGGCAGGAATCAACGCAATGATTACAATTAAATTATCTTCATAATCAAGACCAAAACCCAAATTAGCATCGCGAACACACACACACACACGTATTTGAGGTCCATTTTTAATTGTATTAGACGGTTGTCGCTCACACTTTTTCATTTGATTTTCGATGTTCTTCGCCAATTTCGCCATTAATTAATCGCACATACACACACATTAGCCACACGCACACAGGCACAGAGAGAAATGCACTTGGCACTGCGATGGAAAAAACAATTGAAATTTGAAATCGGCTGCTGCTTTTCAGCTTTTCTTCGTCGTCTCGCGAAATACATATTTCTTTTGCTTTGCCGTTTTTCGTCTCGTCGCTCGTCTTCCCTACTAATTTCGCTCTCTTTTTCTCTCGCCCTCCGCTCTCTTCTTCTTTAAACAATTTTTTCAAGTGTCTCGGCACGGGGCTTTTCAAATGCATTTTTCGCTTAAAATACGCTCAACTACGTTCAGATTTAGTGTTTTTCCAGTTGCTGGCAACCTGGAACGCGTTTTTCCGCAATTTTTCTCCAATGATTTTCACTTTTAGTTACCGTTTAACGCAAAATTCTAGCAGCAATTTTTAAGACAACGCGACACACACATCAAAGACCTCCATTTTGTTTTGTTGTTGTACGCTAGTGCGGAGCGAAAAATCGATGTTTATTCGATAATATCGCATGTAAGGCTGCCAGACTGTGCATATTGTCCTGAATTACTTACTAAAAATACCACGGAAATCCAATTAGTCTGGCTTCAAACCACGTTAAAGAATGTACACGAACCGGACCCAAGCCCATCACGTAATCAGTAACTCAGCATCCGTAAGCTTTATATGCGACTTTCTTCTTATACATTTGAATTAAATAAACACGTTTATACATTTAATATTTGGTGCTACGCCATTTTCAGTCGTTTATTGGGTGGGTTTTTTTCATTTATAAGTTCCGATTCACTATAGTCTTTTACGTGCGTTTTCAGACCCTCCATTTCCTCGTCTTCATCGCTGTGGTCGTCCTCTGAACTGTCTGAGAATACAACAGGTCCATTTCCTTTTACAAACATGATGGTTTTCCCCAGGCGTCGAGACTCCGCCTTCAAAAAAAGTTGCCGGCAATGCCGATCCACAGCGTTCTTGCCTTGGTCCTCCGATAATCCGAAAATGAAGGCCCTAAATGACCATAAAATAAAAGTGAACTAACCCATATTAATATAGAGAATAGCCTACAGATTGGCCACATCGTAGGATCCTCTCAGCTGGAATTCGTGCGTCGCTCCGCTGCTGAATATTATGTTCTTCGACTTCCCTTTGGTGCAATAGTTCTGGGCGATTTTAATCATGTCCTTCCTGTTATTCGAATCGACTATAGCTGGGGCGTATTTAATCTCGAAGAACATGCCCCGACGCACGGCCACCTGGTAGGCTTTCCGATTGACTAAAAGACGTGATCCAGCCACAGGATCAAAGCTTATTAGGTCTCCATTGAAGGTGGTGCAGCAGTGCTTAAAATAACTATCTTAAAAGTGGATCGTAAGAGGTGTTTATAGCAACCTACCGTTAGGGCGGCATCTGTTTTGGGCTGACCAGCAATTAGATTAAACTTTCGGAGGTTTAGGGAAACACTCTGCAAAATAAACATTTAATTATGGTGCAAATGCAAATATGATCAACTGTATACTTATATCTGGATTGCAAAGGAATTAAAATTAAAAACGAGTTACATATTATCTGGTGCAGTAGTTATAAGAACATTTATAGCAAGTATTTCTTCATAAAGTCTATTGATTATTACATTTTTGGAAAATCAAAATTAAGGATGTTTAGACCTACAATAACAATGCTCTACAACGAAGCGATTAAATAGCTCAATTTGGGGCGGCGATACTTGACAATTAACTTGTTCCTAAACTAACGGGACTAGTAACAATATAAACTAACCAATATCACTAACCATCGCATGCGCCACATTGACGTCCACGTAGAGAACGGTAATTCTCTGCAGGATCCTCAGTTTGTCCTGGAACTCCTTGCGCAAATGCTCGATCTTCTGGGGCTCGGGAAACATATCAGATCCCCGTTTGCCGTTCTCCTTTTTACTGTGATCGAAACTCTGATCGATTGCGATGGTTTTGTAGCCCACTGCAAAGAGTTTCTTAGTAATCGGGGGAAAATCATTTGAATTATTACATTTTTTCTTACATTCCACGAGCTCGTTAAGCAGAGCCCGCATCTTCGAGTCGTCCGTGTTGTAGGGAATGCTTAAATCGTAGAATGGCTTTGTTTGCTCCATTATTGGGTTTGTTTTTATTTATATTGGAGCCCCAAAAGCGTGCAACTAATGTGTAGAGTGACCGAAGCTCGTTAAAGAAAATTAGGTTTACAAGTGTGGCCAGTTCAATTAGGGCGGGCAAACAATATATTTTTTATTTATATTATTAAGTATTTTTTTAATAGATTTAATGTTATTTAACTGGGTAAGTTAAGCTAAAACTAATTCATTAAAAAATGGGTTTAATAATTGTAAGTTAAAAGAATATTTGATTTCTACCTTTATGTTAAAATTGTTCTTTGTAATATACCAAAATGTAATATTTTGAGTTTTAATAAAAAATAAGAAATTATTTAAACGTTTGTTTGGTGATTACAAGGAAACGCCAATAATTAATTTAATTGGAATTAGTACGACCCAAACTTTAGGAATTGTAAAAATAATATATATAACTGGGTATTTTAAACTAAACAAACCGCTTTCCTTTTCTCCTTTGAAGGATATTTCTTAATGTGCTTCTGTAAAAACTTGTTTTTTAGCTTTAAAGTTATCATGTGAAATGTTCTGATTAAATTTAAAATAATTTGATGAGCATGTTTCTTTAAACCGCTTCCGTATTCAAATTTAAATGACAGCGCCAATGCTAAAATCAATATCTCTTTTTATTAGCGGTCATAGGAACTAAAACAAGAGTGATCATTTTTACTACATCTCTACGAGAAGTCAATGTCAAAGCGGATCCCCTGCATCGATTGCAGTTGTCACTGGATCGTTGACTGGATTTGTAGACACGTGCGTAGTGTGCTCCTCGAATTGCTTGGCTTTAGCCCGTCGGGATTTGATCAAGATTCCGTGGCCGGGACAATCCCGATCGGTGCTGTAGCACTTGTCCTTGCAGCAGACGCGGCACAGCCGGAACTCGCACTTCGACCCCTGGGGGTTGGAGCACTCCGTGCAGTATTCCAGGCGCCTCTCGTGGCGATGCTGGATCTGGGCCTCTGTTTGGTTGGGTCTTCGCTGGCGCCTGCGCAGCTTCTTCATCCGCTTGCGGGATATCTCGTTGCCGTCCTTGTCGAAGTACTGCCGCTTGGCTCTATTGGGATCCTCGGCCTCCCGCACTTTTTCGGCGATCTTCTGGCGGTGGGATTCGGGTGAGGCGCGTATATAGGGTTGGCACAGCCAGGGGGCAAGCGGTAGTTTCTGCAGAGAGCATTAAAGACAGTTAATAAAAAGTTAATAATGGAAAAAATTGGAAAAATAATTGTTGAGAAAGGATTTAAAAAAAATCTTACATCTTCCTCTGATCCAGCCGCCATTTCTTCCGGCTTATAGGGTATTTCTCCCGTATGGAAGACTTCATACTTGGCTTGGACCTTTTGCACGACAGTTTGAAATTGTTCTAGCTGATTGGCAGTGGCCAGGCTTTGTCGTAGCTCCGAGTTCTGTCGGATATTCATACTAAAAGGGAGAGGGGAAACAATTTAAAATACTAGTGGTCTATTAATCAGGATCACTTGAACCTTACATATGGTGGAAGAGCTTGAACAGATGTCCTCGTATGTAGGAGCTGGGACAGGGATGCAGGTACACGAGCTCTAAGTACTCATTGGCCATTTGCCAGACAGGTGGAGACACTCCCTGGAATATGGCCGGATTGTGGAGATTACCCTCGGCGCTCATGACGCCATCGACTCCCGTTTCCGCCATACACCGGTGTACATCCTCCAGGCCCAGGATGTTTCCGTTCGCAAACATGGGAATCTTGATGTGCTGCCGCACCTCCTTTATGTAGCTCCAGTCAGCAACGCCGGTAAGCGGTCCCTTCTGTTCTCTGGTCCTCCCGTGCACTGTGAGGAGCTGACAACCGGCAGCCTCCAGCATCTTTGCATATCTGATGGTCTTATCGAGGTCCTCAAATATGCGAATCTTGCAGGTCACCGGTATGGATAACTTTGCGTGCAAGGTGCTCACTGAAATGGGGAATAAGTTGGTATTATAAAACCATTTAATTAATAAGCAATAAGGAATTTTTTCCACTCACCAATCTTCGTCAAGAGTTCCCACTCGTCCTGCAGAAAGGACCCGTAGTGACCCCGCTTGGCAATGGCCTGAGGACAACCCAAATTAATGTCCACCGCGTCGCAGTAATCCTGTGCCAAAAGTGCTGCCTCCAGAATTTGCTGGGCGTCGTTGCCGCAGAACTGGATGATCAGGGGCCTGTCTTCGGGACACGTCTGCAAAGCATCTTTGCGATACTTGGGATCAGTGGCGAAGAGGTTTGCATGGTACATGGGCGAGTAGCAGAGTTCGGCGCCATATCGCCGGCACAGCATCCGCCAAGCTAGTTCACTTTGGTCTACCATTGGTGCCACTACATATCTCGAAGATCCCAAGGTGCAGCGGTAGAAGTCATAGGCATTAAGTTTGGAAGTAGGGCTTCCTGCCAAACAACCCTCATCGTTCACCATGGCAAATTTACTTTACCTGAAAGGAAAATCAGAGGAAATAGATTATTTAAGAGGTATTTTAAGATCAGATAATAATTTGGTTTTTTTCAGGGATTTTCTGGAAAATTCTTTAGAATGTTTTTTAATCAATATACAAGTACAAGTTACGAATTTTCAACAAAAATATTTAAGGATTTTTAGCGAAACAAGAATTCGAGGTTTATATGTTTAAACACAGAATGAATAAATACAACTTCTTGCTCTTTTCTTTTCTATTATTAATGATGATTCTATGCAAACAAAATTGTGTGTCAGAAAACCAAGAAAGCCCATATGTAGCAGCACTATTATAAAAATCGATTTGAAAATGTCCAGTGGGAGCGGTTCCTGGCCAAAACATTACTCATCATGAAAACAGGTTGACAAATGTCCGCAATGCAGTCAAATATTGTGGCTCATTTTTTAGCGGCTTGAAAGCGGATAGAATTTCCCAAAGCACCCACGCATTTTCACAGCCTGCTAATTAGCGATACATTTGCAGCGAAAGGGAGCGGCCGAGCGACTGCGAAAATAGCCACGCACAGGTGGTTTTACATTGAGCTGTTGACAGAGCCCCACACAAAAAGCGAAAATTCAAAGGAATGTTCAAAACTTATTAAATTCCTATTTTTATGTGGAATTTTCATGAATATATAATTATTTGTTACAAAAAAAGGTAAATAGTTCATTATTTAATACTTTCCTCCGGTCTCTAATACATGAACTCCAGTTCACTTTACGAATAACGTGAATAAATATTACTTTTAGTCAAGGACCATATTAATAAACTTTAAGACGAGTTTTGCTTAATCATGGGTATTTAAAATATATTTGAAGTTTCACTTTTATTGCAACTGCGTTTGCAATGGCATTTATACCAATTAATTCGTATCTACTTGGGGATTTCTTTAATATCTTCTTTACCTACCCATTTTTCGCTTTTCCTGCTGCAATTTGCTTTCTTTTTCGGGGCTTGGCCAAGTCAAAGAAGCGTGAAAATTGCGTCAATGCACAGCAACAATTACGAGAAAAGCCAAACAGCAACAATTGCCACATAACAATGGCGCACTAATTGAGTTATTTAAGTTGGGCATGCAACTCAAAACTTTAAACTAAACTTTAAACCATTTTGTCGTCCAGAAGCTTATCGAAATTTTCAACTTGCACTTTCGGATTGGAATGCACAAGAAGACAAACGAAAGATAAATGGCTTAAAGTAAGTACACTGCATTATGTGGTCATCATGTTTTGAATTTTATCATAACCATTTCATTTTAAAACTATAAGATTAATCACTGCTCTCTTAATAAAAATGTACTTTTTCGTTGAAAAACACGACTCAAATCAAATTTTTTTGTGATCAATACTAATAATTTAACCAATATATGAGCTCTGAAAACATCAGTTCGCAAGATCTTATTCCGAATTATTCCAGATTTGTGTGCTTGTAAAGACAATAACTTTTCAAGCCGCAAAAATGTCTTGTGGTGACGAAACGCACCTGCATCTTTACACACCCGAAAACAAGGTTACCTTAGGCAGCCAGCAGAATAACTGGTATAACTCGGCACAATTGGAAATTTACTTTGCAAACGCTCGCACACAAACAGAAGCAGGAAAAAGTTTTTACATTGGAAGTTTACTGACCGAAAATGACATGCAATTTCATCAATGGCAAAGGCAGATTTCCCTCCCCCTTCTAGGGATTTTTCTACTTGTTTTTCAGGACTTTCAGACCCTCTGTTGCTTAACTTTTTACGCTGACAATGCAAAGAGCCATTTGAAGCCAATGGCTGTGAGTAATTAAAGTTTAAATTGCCAGAAAACTTTTCCGCCCCTCAAAATGTAAATTGCATAAGAACGAACTGAAATGAACCGAAATAAAGTGCAGGCCCCGAAAAAAGGGGCGTGACCACTGTTGCGCCGCCAGTTGTTGGCTTTGTCATAATTATGCCCAAGTTACAAGAAATTTGCCAAATGAGACGTCCATGCCTCCATGGATAACAAAGTCCTGGAGAGAAAGGGGAGCCGAGGTTCTGGGCATTTTGCAATTAATAACTTTCATGAAAGCGGGGAGAGACATACAAAACCAACAGCAACATGAACAAGTCCGTTAATGTCGGCAGATTGTGCATAAAGTAATTTACGCTTATAAGTTGCCACTAAAATTGCATTCCTCTTTTTATTATTTGCAAAAAAGTTTGGCACAATAAATTAGCGCAATAAATTAGTTTACTTATAGTTTGGCATAAATTCTCCGTTTTATTTAAAAGTAACTCGGCTTTGTAATACAATTTTAAACTAGAATAAGTTTTGCCTGATCAGGTACTTTTTGAATGCCCAATTTTATACCCTTGCAGAAGGTATTATAATTTTGGTCAAAAGTGTGCAACGCAGTGAAGGGGACATCTCCGACCCTATAAAGTATATATATATTTGAGATCAGGATCGCGTCCTGAGTTGATATAAGCATGTCCGTCTGTCTGTTTCTACGCGAACTAGTCTCTCAGTTTTAAAGATATCGAATCGAAACTTTGCACTCACCCTTCGTTCGAACGGCCGGGATCGGCCGACTATACAACAACTTAACGATTGGAAATGCCATAACTTTTGACTCAAAATTGGTATGCGAGAGTCTTTACAAAACTTTATCCGATTCCAAAGTGACATACTTCTAAAGACTTGTGATTCGATTTTCTAAAAGTCTGCATTCAAAATTTTTAATTTAACGTTGATCCAAATTTTGACCCATTTTCATGTTAGTTATTTCTAATTTTCCGATGTCTTGTGATAGAGTGACTCAAAATTTGACTTCTAGAGTCCATAACTTTACCAAATTTAAGTCGATTCCAAAGTGGCATGTCTCTTAAGACTCGTAATTTGATTCTCAAAAAATCTGCATTCAAAATTTTTATTTTAACGTTGGTCCAATTTTTGACCCATTTTCATGTCATTTATTTCCAAGTTTCCGATGTGTTGTTAAAAGGTGGCACAAAACTGTATTTCCGTAGTCTATAACTTTACCAAATTTTGTCCGATTTCAAAGTAGCATATCTCCTAAGACTCGTAATTTGATTCTCAAAAAATCTGCATTCAAAATTTTCATTTTGACGTTGGTCCAATTTTTGACCCATTTTCATGTCATTTATTTCCAAGTTTCCGATGTGTTGTTAAAAGGTGGCCCAAAACTAGACTTCCGTAGTCCATAACTTTACCGAATTTTATCCGATTTGGAAGTGGCATGTCTCTTAAGACTCGTAATTTGATTCTCAAAAAATCTGCATTCAAAATTTTCATTTTAACGTTGGTCCAATTTTTGACCCATTTTCATGTCATTTATTTCCAAGTTTCCGATGTGTTGTTAAAAGGTGGCCCAAAACTGTACTTCCGTAGTCCATAACTTTACCAAATTTTGTCCGATTTGGAAGTGGCATGTCTCTTAAGACTCGTAATTTGATTCTCAAAAAATCTGCATTCAAAATTTTCATTTTAACGTTGGTCCAATTTTTGACCCATTTTCATGTCATTTATTTCCAAGTTTCCGATGTGTTGTTAAAAGGTGGCCCAAAACTGGACTTCCGTAGTCCATAACTTTACCAAATTTTATCCGATTTGGAAGTGGCATGTCTCTTAAGACTCGTAATTTGATTCTCAAAAAAACTGCATTCAAAATTTTCATTTTAACGTTGGTCCAATTTTTGACCCATTTTCATGTAATTTATTTCCAAGTTTCCGATGTGTTGTTAAAAGGTGGCCAAAAACTGGACTTCCGTAGTCCATAACTTTACCAAATTTTATCCGATATGGAAGTGGCATGTCTCTTAAGACTCGTAATTTGATTCTCAAAAAAACTGCATTCAAAATTTTCATTTTAACGTTGGTCCAATTTTTGACCCATTTTCATGTCATTTATTTCCCAGTTTCCGATGTGTTGTTAAAAGGTGGCCCAAAACTGGACTTCCGTAATCCATAACTTTACTGAATTTTATCCGATTTGGAAGTGGCATGTCTCTTAAGACTCGTAATTTGATTCTCAAAAAATCTGCATTCAAAATTTTCATTTTAACGTTGGTCCAATTTTGGACCCATTTTCATGTCAATTATTTCCAAGTTTCCGATGTGTTGTTAAAAGGTGGCTCAAAACTGGACTTCCGTAGTCCATAACTTTACCAAATTTTATCCGATATGGAAGTGGCATGTCTCTTAAGACTCGTAATTTGATTCTCAAAAAATCTGCATTCAAAATTTGTATTTTAACGTTGGTCCAATTTTTGACCCATTTTCATGTCATTTATTTCCAAGTTTCCGATGTGTTGTTAAAAGGTGGCTCAAAACTGGACTTCCGTAGTCCATAACTTTACCAAATTTTATCCGATATGGAAGTGGCTTGTCTCTTCAGACTCGTAATTTGATTCTCAAAAAATCTGCATTAAAAATTTTCATTTTAACGTTGGTCCAATTTTTGACCCATTTTCATTTCAATTATTTCCAAGTTTCCGATGTGTTGTTAAAAGGTGGCTCAAAACTGGACTTCCGTAGTCCATAACTTTACCAAATTCTATCCGATTTGGAAGTGGCATGTCTCTTAAGACTCGTAATTTGATTCTCAAAAACGAATTGATTCTCAAAAATATGCATTCAAAATTTTCATTTTAACGTTGGTCCAATTTTTGACCCATTTTCATGTCAATTATTTCCAAGTTTCCGATGTGTTGTTAAAAGGTGGCTCAAAACTGGACTTCCGTAGTCCATAACTTTACCAAATTTTATCCGATTTGGAAGTGGCATGTCTCTTAAGACTCGTAATTTGATTCTCAAAAAATTTGCATTTAAAATTTTCATTTTAACGTTGGTCCAATTTTTGACCCATTTTCATGTCAATTATTTCCAAGTTTCCGATGTGTTGTTAAAAGGTGGCTCAAAACTGGACTTCCGTAGTCCATAACTTTAGCAAAATTTATCCGATATGGAAGTGGCATGTCTCTTTAGACTTGTAAT